GTTAAAGGTCACTGCCCGCGATCAGCTGACATCTTCCTCTCCCTTTCGTGAGCAGGTAGACAGGCCCGCAGAGGCAGCGATTGCACCATTTTTGCGGCGCAAAGGTGATCCTCACATTGGCCCGACCCATTTTCATTGACCCCGCCCGCCGCTCTGCTATCCATAATGATAGAAGACCTGCTAAAGAACATCGGCAGAGACATTATTGGCAACAGGAAATCAGCTGTGATCAATGGCGCAACCACATCGACCACAACAGCACTCGCCCGGTGATCTCGTCCGATCACTCTCTTTGCTCTTCCTCTGCTCGTACAAGTGTGCTCGCAGAGGGGTTTTATTGGGGCATTTGCGACCATTTTTTTCTGTTTTTTCTGCACTATTGACTTTGTTGGCATCTTGGCATCGCTAGTTCAGCACCACTACCCAGAATATCTGATCGCGGGCTTTGCCTTCAAGCAGAATGTTGATTAAAATAACTACGAACCACGTCGTCAAACCGATAAAAAGGTTTTTTTGCATCGACTTCGAAGATTTAAGTGGGCTCTTGCTTGTCTTCAACGTTCTCGATGACGTTCGACGACGTCACCTCATCATAATGAGGATGTGTCGTAGAAGCACGGCCATTCTCCCACTGGAGAGACCCTGCGCCCAAATGGACTTGCCAAGTAGACCTTGTAGGACGCACTCCTTTAACGCCTATTATTACACTCGTAAGGCCATTTGAAGCTCAGCTAATAACTTTAACAGGTCGCGGACCGCCGCACTGTGCGCATCTCCGGAACATTTTATCATTTCTCAGGAGTTATTCATAAGTAATTTCCTTCCTTTTTTTGAATCGCTCATGGGGTAAGTATCTTCCGTAAGCTGGAATGCGTTTTCACAACACTGGAACATGAAAGAAGAGCCAAATTTATGAAATAAAACACCGCTTAGAGACAAATTTATGACACACCATGTGTGTCACGCGGTCCGGAACGTGTTAAATAGTAAGTCATTTAGTAAGAGTACGGCATATGTGACACAACAAAATAAAGGCTCTTTCAAGCTTCTCATATCGAAAAAAGGAGGAGACACTTGCTGAAGGGGTGAAGTAGAGCTTACTGCTGAATTGT